ATCAACAAAACTGACAAACCTTTAACCAGACTGACAAAGAAAAAAGAGAAAAGATGCAAATAACTAAAATCAGAAATGAAAGTGGGGTCATTACCACCAAGCTTACATAAATAAAAAGGTTTATGAGAGCGTATTATGACAATTGTATGGTGACAGTATAATAACCTAGATGAAATAGGGAAATTCCTAGAAACACAAATTACCTAAAATCACTCAAGAAGAAATATCAACAGGCCTATGACATGTAGAGATTGAATCATTAATTTTAAAAAAACAGTCCATGTGTCTCTGTGTCTGTTTCTATGCTGGTGCCATGCCATTTTGCTTACTGTATCTCTGTAGTATAATTTGAAGTCATGTAATATGATTCCTCCAGTTTTGTTCTTTTTGCTTAGGATAGCTTTGGCTATTTTGGGTCTTTTGTGGTTCCATATAAATTTTAGGATCTTTTTTTCTATTTCTGTGAAGAATATCATTGGTATTTGAATAGGAATTCTGTTGAATTGAATCTGTAGATGGCTTTGGGGAATATGGACATTTTAACTGTATTGATTCTTCCAATTCATGAACATGGAATAATTTTCCATTTTTTTGTTGTTGTCCTGTTCAGTTCCCTTCATCATTGTCTCATAGTTTGCATTATAGAGATCTTTCACTTCTTTGGTTAATTCCTAGGTGTTTAATTTTATGTGTGGCTGATGTAAATGGGATTATTTTTTGGCTATCTTTTTCAGCTTGTTCATTGTTGGCATATAGAAATGTTACAGATTTTTGTATGTTGATTTTGTATCCTGCAGCTTTACTGAATTTATCACTTCTAGTAGTTTTGGGTGGAGTCTTTAGGTTTTTGCAAATCTAAGATCATATTATCCACAAGCAAGATAATTTGACTTTCTCCTTTCTAGTTTGGATGTCCTTTATTTATTTGTCTTGTCTAATTGCTCTAGCTAGGACTTTCAGTACTGTGTTGAATAACAGTGGTGAAAGTGGGCATGTTTGTCGTCATGCTTTGAATCTTAGAGGAAAGGCTTTCAGTTTTTCCTCATTCAGCATTATACTAGCTGTGGGCCTGTCATATATGGCTTTTATTATGTTAAGGTATGTTTCTTCTATCTCAAGTTTTTTGAGGGTTTTCATCATGAAGGGATTTGAACTTTATCAAATGCTTTTTCAGCATCAGCTGAAATGATCTTATGGTTTTGTCCTTTAGTCTACTGTTAGGATGTATCACATTAATTGATTTGCATATGTTAAACCATTCTTGCATCCCAGGGATAAATTCCACATGGTCATGGTGAATGATCTTTTTAATGTATTGTTGAATTCCATTTGCTAATATTTTGTTATATATATTTGTTGTTGTTGAGGATTTTTGCATCAGTATTAATCAACTATATTGGCCTGTAGTTTTCTTTTTTTATGTGTCTTTGTCTGATTTTGATATCAGGGTAATAATGGCCTTGTAGAATGAATTTGGAGGAGGAAAGGAAGGAGAGAGGGAAGGAGGGAAAGAAGGAAGGGAGGGAGAATGAATTTGGATGGCCTTGTAGAATGAATTTGGATATATTTTCTTCTCTATTTTTCAGAATAGTTTGAATAGGGTTGGTATTAGTTCTTCTTTAAATGTTTGGTAGAACTTAGCAGTGAAGACATCACATCCTGGGATGTTCCTTGCTGGGAGAATTTTTATTATGGCTTGATCTCATTACTTGTTATTAGAGTGTTCAGATTTTGGATTTCTTTGTGGTTCAATCTTGGTAGGTTGTATGTGTCTAGAAATTTGTCTACTCCTTCTAGATTTTCCAATGTATTACCATATTGTTGCTCATAGTAGCCACTAATGATCCTTTGAATCTCTTTGGTATCAGTTGTCATGTCTTCTTTTTCATCTCTGATTGTATTTATTTGGACCTTTTCTCTTTTATTCTTAGTTACTCTTGCTAAAGGTTTGTTGATTATGTTTAACTTTTCAAAAAAACAACTTTTTGTTTCATTGATCTTTTGTATTTTCTTCATTTCAATTTCATTTATTTCTGCTCTAATATTTATTATTTATTTTCTTCTACTAATTTTGGGTTTGATTTGCTCTTGCTTTTCTAACTCTTTAAGATGCATTGTTAGGTTGTTTGAAGTTTTTCTTTTTTGGTGTGGCACTTATAGTGATAAGCTTCACTCTTAGTACTGCTTTTGCTATATCCCATAGGTTGTGGTATGTTGTGTTTCCATTATAATTTTTTTTCAAGATTTTTTTTTTTTTTTTTTGAGATGGAGTTTTGCTCTTGTAGTCCAGGCTGGAATGCAATGGTGTGATCCCGACTCACCACAACCTCTGCCTCCTGGGCTCAAGGGATTCTCCTGCCTCAGCCTCCCAAGTAGCTGGGATTACAGGCATGCACCATCATGCCCAGTTAATTTTTGCATTTTTAGTAGAGATGGAGTTTCTCTATGTTGGTCAGGGTGGTCTCGAACTCCTGACCTCAGGTAATCTGCCTGCCTCAGCCTCCCAAAGTGCTGGGATTACAGACATGAGCCACTGCGCCCAGCCAGGAAATTTTTTAATTTTCTTCTTAATCTCTTCATTGACCCATGATCACTCAGAAGCATATTGTTCAATTTCAAAGTATCCATTTTCCAAAATTCTTGTTATGAATTTCTAATTTTATTCCATTGTTGTCAGAGCTTCGCTATTATTTCCATTTTTTGAATGTTGTAAAGACTTCTTTTGTGACGTAACATGTGGTCTGTCCTTAAGAATGATCCATGTGCTGAGGAAAGAATGTGTATTCTGTAGCCATTGGATGAAATGTTCTGTAAATATCTATTAGATCCATCTGTTTTATAACGTAGACTAAATCCGATGTTTCTTTGTTGATTTTCTGTCTAAAAGATCTGTCCAATGCTAAAAGTGTTGAAGTCTCCAGTTACTGTTGTATTGGAGTCCATCCTTCTGTTTAGCTCTAATAATGCTTTGTACATCTGGGTACTCCAGTGTTGCATGCATATATATTTAAACTTATTATATCCTCCTGCTGAATGGACCCTTTTATTATCATATAGTCACCTTCTTTGTCTCTTCTTATAGTTTTGTCTTAAAATCTATTTTATCTGGTATAAGTATAGCCACTCCTGCTCTTTTTGGTTTCTTACTGGCATGGAATATCTTTTTCTATCCCTTATTTTCAGTCTGTGTGTGTCTTTATGGGTGAATTGTATTTCTTGTAGGCAACAGAATCAATTAGTCTTTTTTTTGACTGGGGCTAGGGGTGTCCATTCAGTAACAGTAGGTGTTTTGGTTGGAGAGTTTAGTTCATTTACATTCAATGTTATTACCGATAAGTAAAGACTTACTCCTGCCATTTTGTTATTTGTTTTCTGGCTCTATTGTGGTCTTCTCTTTCTTCTTTTCTTCCTTCCTATCTTGCTTTTAGTGAAGGTGATTTTTTGTGGTCATATGATTTAGTTTGTTTTTTATTTTTGTGTATTCATTGTATGATTGTTTTTGTTTGAGGTTTTCCATGAGGCTTGCAAATATTATCTTATAAGCCATTATTTTAACCTGATAACTACTTAACACTTTTGCATAAGCAAACAAACAAGCAAAAATAAAACAAATAATGACTCTACACCTTAACTTCATCTCCCTGCTTTTAAACTTTTGTTGTTTCTATTTATATCTTGTTGTACTATGTCTTGAAAAGTTGTAGTTATCATTTTCGATTGGTCATTGTTTAGTTTTTCTACTTAAGAAAAGAGCAGTTTACACACCACAGTCACACTGTTATAATAGTCTCTTTTTCTGTGTACTTACTGTTGCCAGTGAGTTTTCTACCTTCAGATGATTTCTTATTGTTCATTAACATCCTTTTCTTGTTGTAGCAAAAAATCAGAAACAACCTAAACATTCATCTACAGGAGAATGGATCAATTCATGTTGGAATATCATTATAATAGAATAATAAACAGTAGTTTAAATGAATGAAGAAGATCTTCATGTTTCAACATGGGCAAATGGCTTTTTTAAAAAGCAGAGAAAATTGAATTTGAAATGCAAGTGGCAAAGGAAACACATTATAATATAACATATCTAAATTTTAAAATTATGCAAAACTACTTCACATGTACATGTACAATGTGCATGGGAATTATAAAGACTGTATTTAAGACAGTGGTTCACATGAGAAAAAAAACATAGTGCTGAGTAGTATGAAATACCTTAAATGTGAGGGAAAGTAATAAGGAGATAGATGAATATAAGGTACTCATTTGGCCTTCCCATTATTCACTACTAATTTCATTGTGAATCCTGCAACCTCTCTAATACATAGATTCCATCTGATTTTTGGAAAACAGATGTATCGTTATTTAACCAGATAATCAACCATATTGTTGAGAAATGTATCCCATACTCTCTTAGAGTTTATAAACTTAGTGGGGAAGATGTAATTACATGCCAAAAAAGTCAAGGAAAAGATGAGCTATCTATATGAGGAATTTAGTCAACTGTTGTCTGATATCTGTCTGAGATTAAATGACAACATATAAATGAAATGTTTTGTATGATGCCTGGTACCAAAATAAAAGCTCTCAATAAACGTTAGCTATCATTATCGTTATTAGGAATAATATTGAGAGATTACTTTTTAATCCTATGTATTGGTCAAAATATGTCAATGATTGACCCAAGTTTGCATCCACTGATCAGTTAATTGGTTTAAAGGAAAGGATCCTAATTTTAATTCCATGGTCAATTTCATTTATATATTGATTCAACGAATTTTTTCTCTTTATGTAGAAAAATATAATCATGAATGGGCTTTAGCACATCCTCCTAAATCCAAATGCACAGTATATGAAAATGCATGTGTGTACTTTGTGGAAATAAAAGATCCATAGCTTTTCTCAACTTCCCAATGTGTATGCGTCTGAAAAAAAAAAAAAACAATAGAGATTTTGTTTTAGAGTCTCTACATTTTCCTCACAGCCTGTGTCTTTCTGATTAGGGAAGGTTGATATAAAAAACCTGAAGACCGTTCTAGACAACATGGGAATCAAGCTCACAGATAAAGAACTTGAAGATCTGACACAAAGCCTGCCAGTCGGTGGTGAGCATGCTAGATATCACTGGTTTTTGGGTTTTGTGTTCTGTGTGCTTTTAGCATTAGAAGGAAAGGGAAAAAAGAACTTTTCATAATGCAAATGGCAAGATTAAATAAGACAGTCAGTGTAACAAAGTAGGGAAGGTAGTATTCTGAATACTAGCGGCATGGTCAATACAAGAGCCTTCCAAATTCTGAGGACAAGAAAGCTGACCCGTAGGAAAAAGCCACTTTTGAATTCCATCTTTCCATTATCAAATATAAGATTTGCTGTTTTATGGGTTATAAAGTCAAATTTACATTTTCTAAATAAGTTTATTTTCAATATTTATAATTGTTTCTTCATCTTCGTAACATATTCTGAGTAAATATTTATCAAATGACTAAAGTGCTTAACAAAATGCCCAGTATACTTCCTAAGTGCTGCTACTAGGTGTTATAATCATAGGAGGGAGGAGAGTGTTCTTGTGATATAACATGTTATGAGCTTCAAATTATGCCTTTGTGTTATAGCTGATAATAAAGTGGCTCTGAAAGCATTGGAGGATGAAGTGAAAGCTTTTACTGGTAAGAATTTGTTACACATGATTTGCAATAAATGATGATTTACACTAAAATTTTTAATAGTATTTTTCTAATATTCTATTTGTGGCTTATCAATTCACATATTTTCAATATTTTGATAAAATATCTGCCTTTACTAACAGATTAACATTATTGCGTTTTATCAGTCAAAACGAAAGAACTATTTCTTGATAACATCTTACATTCATTAGTACTGTTTTCCAATAAAATGGTTTCACCAGTATCTATAGACCCAAATAACTAGATGGACACAGTGAAAACAGGGTGAAGCATTAAAAGGATCAAAGTAATGAGTTCATTGCAAGCGTCTAACCACCTAGTTTTACAAAAATGAAATATGTCATACTTGTTTTTTGACTTTTGTTTTTAATTATACTTTAAGTTCTAGGGTACATGTGCACAACGTGCAGGTTTGTTACATATGTATACATGTGCCGTGTTGGTTTGCTGCACCCATTAACTCGTCATTTCCATTAGGTATTTCTCCTAATGCTATCCCTCCCCCATTCCCCCACATCACGACTGGCCCCGGGGTGTGATGGGCCCCGGGGTGTGATGTTCCCCGCCCTGTGTCCAAGTGTTCTCATTGTTCAGTTCCCACCGATGAGTGAGAACACGCGGTGTTTGGTTTTCTGTCCTTGCCATAGTTTGCTCAGAATGATGGATTCCAGCTTCATCCGTGTTGCTACAAAGGACACCAACTCATCCTTTTTTTATGGCTGCATAGTATTCCATGGTGTACATGTGCCACATTTTCTTAATCCAGTCTATCACTGATGGACATTGGGGTTGGTTCCAAGTCTTTGCTATTGTGAATAGTGCCGCCATAAACATACGTGTGCGTGTGTCTTTATAGTAGCATGATATATAATCCTCTGGGTATATACCCAGTAATAGGATTGCTGGGTCAAATGGTATTTCTCGTTCTGGATCCTTGAGGAATCGCCACACTGCCTTCCACAATGGTGGAACTAGTTTACACTCCCGCCAACAGTGTAAAAGCCTTCCTATTTCTCCACATTCTCGCCAGCACCCGCCGTTTCCTGACTTTTTAATGATCGCCATTCTAACTGGTGTGAGATGCTATCTCATTGTGCTTTTGCTTTGCATTTCTCTGATGACCAGTGGTGATGAGCATTTTTTCACGTGTCTGTTGGCTGCATTAATTAACTTTTCTTTTGAAAAGTATCTGTTCATATCCTTTGCCCACTTTTTGATGGGGTTGTTTGATTTTTTCTTGTAAATTTGTTTAAGTTCTTTGTAGATTCTGGATATTAGCCCTCTGTCAGATGGGTAGATTGCAAAAATTGTCTCCCATTCTGTAGGTTGCCTGTTCACTCTGATGGTAGTTTCCTTTGCTGTGCAGAAACTCTTTAGTGTAATTAGACCCCGTTTGTCTATTTTGGCTTTTGTTGCCATTGCTTTTGGTGTTTTAGTCATGAAGTCCTTGCCCATGCCTATGTCCTGACTGGTATTGGCTAGGTTTTCTTCTAGGGTTTTTATGCTTTTAGCTCTAACATTTAAGTCTTTAATCCACCTTGAATTAATTTTTGTATAAGGCATAAGGAAGGGATCCCGTTTCAGCTTTCTACATATGGCTAGCCAGTTTTCCCGGCACCATTTATTAAATAGGGAATCCTTTCCCCGTTTCTTGTTTTTGTCAGGTCTGTCAAAGATGAGATGGTTGTAGATGTGTGGTGTTTTTCCTGAGGCCTCTGTTCTGTTCCATTGGTCTATATCTCTGTTTTGGTACCAGTACCATGCTGTTTTGGTTACTGTAGCCTTGTGGTGTAGTTTGAAGTCAGGTAGCATGATGCCTCCCGCTTTGTTCTTTTTGCTTAGGATTGTCTTGGCAATGCGGGCTCTTTTTTGGTTCCATATGAACTTTAAGGTAGCTTTTCCCAATTCCGTGAAGAACGTCATCGGCAGCTTGCTGGGATGCCATTGAATCTATAAATTACCTTGGGCAGTATGGCCATTTTCACGATATTGATTCTTCCTATCCGTGAGCATGGAGTGTTCTTCCATTTGGTTGTGTCCTCTTTTATTTTGCTGAGCAGTGCTTTGTAGTTCTCCTTGAAGAGGTCCTTCACATCCCTGGTAAGTTGGATGCCTAGGTATTTTATTCTCTTTGAAGCAGTTGTGAATGGGAGTTCACTCATGATTTGGCTCTCTGTTTGTCTCTTATTGGCGTATAAGAATGCTTGTGATTTTTGCACATTGATTTTGTATCCTGAGACTTTGCTGAAGTTGCTTGTCAGCTTAAGGAGATTTCGGGCCGAGACGATGGGGCTTTCTAAATATACAGTCATGTCATCTGAAAACAGGGACAATTTGACATCCTTTTTTCCTAATTGATACCCTTTATTTCTTTCTCCTGCCTGATTGCCCTGGCCAGAACTTCCAACAATATGTTCAATAGGAGACACTGTGTTGAATAGGAGTGGTGAGAGAGGGCAGCCCTGTCTTGTGCCAGTTTTCATAGGGAATGCTTCCAGTTTTTGCCCATTCAGTATGATACTGGCTGTGGGTTTGTCATAAATAGCTCGTATTATTTTGAGATACGTTCTATCAATACCTAGTTTACTGAGAGTTTTTAGCATGAATGACTGTTGAATTTTGTTGAAGGCCTTTTCTCCGTCTGTTGAGATAATCATGTGTTTTTTGTGTTTGGTTCTGTTTATGTGATGGATTACGTCTACTGATTTGCGTACGTTGAACCAGCCTTGCATCCCAGGGATGAAGCCAACTTGATCTTGGTGGTTAAGCTTTTTGATGTGCTGCTGGATTCGGTTTGCCAGCATTTTATGGAGGATTTTTGCATCGATGTTCATCAGGGCTATTGTTCTGAAATTCTCTTTTCTTGTTGTGTCTCTGGCAGGCTTTGGTATCAGGATGATACTGGCCTCATAAAATGAGTTAGGGAGGATTCCCTCTTTTTCTATTGATTGGAGTAGTTTCAGAAGGAATGGTACCAGCTCCTCCTCGTACCTCTGGTAGAATTTGGCTGTGAATCCGTCTGGTCCTGGACTCTTTTTGGTTGGTAGCCTATTAAAGATTGCCTCAATTTCAGAGCCTGTTATTGGTCTATTCAGTGATTCAGCTTCTTCCTGGTTTAGTCTTGGGAGGGTGTATGTGTCCAGGAATTGATCCATTTCTTGTAGATTTTCTAGTTTATTTGCATAGAGGTGTTTATAGTATTCTCTGATGGTAGTTTGTATTTCTGTGGGATGGGTGGTGATATCCCCTTTATCATGTGTTACTGCGTCTAGTTGGTTCTTCTCTCTTTTCTTCTTTATTAGTCTTGCTAGCGTTCTATCAATTTTGTTGATCTCTTCAGAAAACCAGCTCCTGGATTCATCGATTTTTTTGAAGGGTTTTTTGTGTCTCTGTCTCCTTCGGTTCTGCTCTGATCTTAGTTATTTCTTGCCTTCTGCTAGCTTTTGAATGTGTTTGCTGTTGCTTCTCTAGTTCTTTTCATTGTGATGGTAGGGTGTCGAGTTCAGATCTTTCCTGCTTTCTGTGGTGGGCATTTAGTGCTATAAATTTCCCTCTACACACTGCTTTAAATGTGTCCCAGAGATTCTGGTACGTTGCGTCTTTGTTCTCATTGGTTTCGAAGAACATCTTTATTTCTGCCTTCATTTCGTTATTTACCCAGTAGTCATCCAGGAGCAGGTTGTTCAGTTTCCATGTAGTTGTGTGGTGTTGAGTGAGTTTCTTAATCCAGAGTTCTAATTTGATGGCACTGTGGTCTGAGAGACAGTTTGTTGTGATTTCTGTTCTTTTACATTTGCTGAGGAGTGCTTGACTTCCAACGATGTGGTCAATTTTGGAATAAGTGCGATGAATGCTGCTGAGAAGAATGTAAGTTCTGTTGATTTGGTTTGGAGAGTTCTGTAGACGTCTATGAGGTCTGCTTGGTGCAGAGATGAGTTCAAGTCCCGGATATCCTTGTTACCCTTGTGTCTCCATATACTGGGATATATTACATAATATACCATTTAACAGGGGTGATTGTAGATGAAATTTTTCTGTTTTAAACATGTCTGGACGCTGGGCGTGGTGACTCCTGTCTGTAATCCCAGCACTTTGGAAGTCCGAGGTAAGTGGATCACTTGAGGTCAGGAGTTTGAGACCAGCCTGGTCAACAAGATGAAACCCCATCTCTTCTAAAAATACAAAAATTAGCCGGGTGTGGTGATGGGCACGTGTAATCCCAGCTATTCAAGAGGCTGAGGCAGGAGAATTGCTTGAACCCAGAAGATGGAGGTTGCAGTGGGCCGAGATCACGTCACTGCTCTCCACCCTGGGCAACAGAGCGAGACTCCGTCTGGAAAAACAAAAAGACATGTCAGGAGGCTGGATGCCGTGGCTCACGCCTGTAATCCCGGCACTTTGGGAGGCCAGGAGTTGAAGACCACTTTGGGCAACATAGCAAGACCCCATCTTTACAAAAAGGAAAAGTAAAAAATAAACAGGTTGGTATCCTGGGCCCTGGAGTGGCAGTGGGCATCTTTTGCCTGTGATCAGTCACGTGATCCCAGCAGCACTCACGTCCTGTTCCCAGTACCCTCCTGTCATTGGTCCAAGGATGAGCATGTGACTCCTCACTGCCAGTCAGAGCCTCCCTGGGAGGGTAAGGGGGCCCTCTGGTGGTGTTTTCCAGCACAGCCGGCAGATCCTCCTTTGGGACTTAGGCGAGGGCATAGGACTCCTCCCCGCTTGTGCTTGCGGGCGAGGATCGGCCTCCGAGATTCTGCGGAGAGACTCTCAAGGGGCACCAGCTGGAGCTGGTTCTGTGTCTGCAGGGAACCATCTGGTGCTCTCTGCATTCATAGCCCCCTACCGCGAGTTTTCTCCTCTGTGTCTTTGTGGCTTAGCCTAGTGTTCACAGAAGGGGCGGGGGTGGAGGGCTCAAACGCTGTCATCCACGTTTGCTTTTCGAAAAACAGCAGGACACAAAATTCTATAAACACGAAATGACGGTACCTGGTACGTGACCCGCATGCAACTCAGAAGGGTGCCAGTAAGTTAGGGGATTGGCCTTTGGAAGGCGTCCTTCTTTTGAGAAAGTGTAATATTTCAGGCCGGGCGCGGTGCCTCACGCCTGTAATCCCACCACTTTGGGAGGCCGAGGCGGGCGGATCAGGAGGTCAGGAGATGGAGACCATCCTGGCTAAGTCGGTGAAACCCCGTCTCTACTAAAAATACAAAAAAAATTAGCCGGGCACGGTGGTGGGTGCCTGTAGTCCCAGCTTCTTGGGAGGCTGAGGCAGGAGAATCATTTGAACCCAGGAGGCAGAGGTTGCAGTGAGCCGAGATCACAGAAGTGCACTCCAACCTGGGTGACGGAGTGAGACTCCCTCTCTGGAGAAGAAAGAAAAGAAGGACGGAGGGAGGGGGAGAGAGAGAGAGAAATAAATGCCTGCAAGTTACTATAAATCGTTGGAAAAAATTTCGCAACTCCATAATGATTGTAGTTTACTTGAAATATGAGGAATAAAAAGCAGGTTAAATAATACCGCAAAGAAAAAAATCACACAAATTCAGAATGAGGGATTCTACAGGAAAACCGGCCTACTCTTTTAAAAAAGTTGGTGTTCAATGTTAAAAAAAAAAAAAAAAAAAAAGTGGGGAGACTTTTTTCTCCCTCTCTCTCTCTCTCTCTCTCTCGACAGAGTCTCGCTCTGTTGCCCTGGCTGGAGTGCGGTGGTGCAATCTCGGCTCACTGCAACCTCCGCCTCCCGGGTTCAGGTGCTTCTTCTGCCTCAGCCTCCCAAGTAGCTGAGACTACAGGTGTGCACCACCATGACTAGCTAATTTTTGTATATTTACTAGAGACGGGGTTTCACTACGTTGGCCAGGCTGGTCTCGAACTCCTGACCTCAAGTGATCCGCCCACATCGGCCTACCAAATTGATGGGATTACAGCAGTGAGCCACTGCACCCAGCTAACTTTTAGATTTAAAGAGACAAAGAGAATAACTAAATGCAATGTGAACTTTTGACAGAAACAGCTGTAATAGATGTTTGGGGGACAATTAACAAAAATATTTTTAAATATGAACTGGATGTAACATGACACTAAGGGATTATTGTTAATTCTCTTAGGTGTGACCATGCTATGTATTTATCAACAATGTCGCATAAGAGAATATCCTTATTCTTAGAAGATTCATGGCATGCTGCAGTGTTTAGGGATAATAAGTTACGATGTCCACCATTTACAGTCAAAATACGTTGAGGAAAGAAAAACATATTTATGTATACACTCACACATACATACGGAAAGACAGTATGAGAGAGAAAAAGTAAACTAGGGCGAAATGTTAACTATTATTTCATGTAAGTGGTGATGGTTCGTTGTGCTGTTCTTTCAATGTTTCGGCATGTTTGGCACTTTCTATTATAAAGTGTTGGGGAAAAAAACATAGTGCTGAGTAGTATGAAATACCTTAAATGTCAGGGAAAGTAATAAGGAGATAGATGAATATAAGGTACTCATTTGGCCTTCCCATTATTCACTACTAATTTCGTTGTGAATCCTGCAACCTCTCTAATACATAGATTCCATCTGATTTTTGGAAAACAGATGTATCGTTATTTAACCAGATAATCAACCATATTGTTGAGAAATGTATCCCATACTCTCTTAGAGTTTATAAACTTAGTGGGGAAGATGTAATTACATGCCAAAAAAGTCAAGGAAAAGATGAGCTATCTGTATGAGGAATTTAGTCAACTGTTGTCTGATATCTGTCTGAGATTAAATGACAACATATAAATGAAATGTTTTGTATGATGCCTGGTACCAAAATAAAAGCTCTCAATAAACGTTAGCTATCATTATCGTTATTAGGAATAATATTGAGAGATTACTTTTTAATCCTATGTATTGGTCAAAATATGTCAATGATTGACCCAAGTTTGCATCCACTGATCAGTTAATTGGTTTAAAGGAAAGGATCCTAATTTTAATTCCATGGTCAATTTCATTTATATATTGATTCAACGAATTTTTTCTCTTTATGTAGAAAAATATAATCATGAATGGGCTTTAGCACATCCTCCTAAATCCTAATGCACAGTTTATGAAAATGCGTGCGTGTACTTTGTGGAAATAAAAGATCCATAGCTTTTCTCAACTTCCCAATGTGTATGCGTCTGAAAAAAAAAAAAACAATAGAGATTTTGTTTTAGAGTCTCTACATTTTCCTCACAGCCTGTGTCTTTCTGATTAGGGAAGGTTGATATAAAAAACCTGAAGACCGTTCTAGACAACATGGGAATCAAGCTCACAGATAAAGAACTTGAAGATCTGACACAAAGCCTGCCAGTCGGTGGTGAGCATGCTAGATATCACTGGTTTTTGGGTTTTGTGTTCTGTGTGCTTTTAGCATTAGAAGGAAAGGGAAAAAAGAACTTTTCATAATGCAAATGGCAAGATTAAATAAGACAGTCAGAGTAACAAAGTAGGGAAGGTAGTATTCTGAATACTAGCGGCATGGTCAATACAAGAGCCTTCCAAATTCTGAGGACAAGAAAGCTGACCCGTAGGAAAAAGCCACTTTTGAATTCCATCTTTCCATTATCAAATATAAGATTTGCTGTTTTATGGGTTATAAAGTCAAATTTACATTTTCTAAATAAGTTTATTTTCAATATTTATAATTGTTTCTTCATCTTCGTAACATATTCTGAGTAAATATTTATCAAATGACTAAAGTGCTTAACAAAATGCCCAGTATACTTCCTAAGTGCTGCTACTAGGTGTTATAATCATAGGAGGGAGGAGAGTGTTCTTGTGATATAACATGTTATGAGCTTCAAATTATGCCTTTGTGTTATAGCTGATAATAAAGTGGCTCTGAAAGCATTGGAGGATGAAGTGAAAGCTTTTACTGGTAAGAATTTGTTACACATGATTTGCAATAAATGATGATTTACACTAAAATTTTTAATAGTATTTTTCTAATATTCTATTTGTGGCTTATCAATTCACATATTTTCAATATTTTGATAAAATATCTGCCTTTACTAACAGATTAACATTATCTGCGTTTTATCAGTCAAAACGAAAGAACTATTTCTTGATAACATCTTACATTCATTAGTACTGTTTTCCAATAAAATGGTTTCACCAGTATCTATAGACCCAAATAACTAGATGGACACAGTGAAAACAGGGTGAAGCATTAAAAGGATCAAAGTAATGAGTTCATTGCAAGCATCTAACCACCTAGTTTTACAAAAATGAAATATGTCATACTTGTTTTTTGACTTTTGTTTTTAATTATACTTTAAGTTCTAGGGTACATGTGCACAACGTGCAGGTTTGTTACATATGTATACATGTGCCGTGTTGGTTTGCTGCACCCATTAACTCGTCATTTCCATTAGGTATTTCTCCTAATGCTATCCCTCCCCCATTCCCCCACATCACGACTGGCCCCGGGGTGTGATGGGCCCCGGGGTGTGATGTTCCCCGCCCTGTGTCCAAGTGTTCTCATTGTTCAGTTCCCACCGATGAGTGAGAACACGCGGTGTTTGGTTTTCTGTCCTTGCCATAGTTTGCTCAGAATGATGGATTCCAGCTTCATCCGTGTTGCTACAAAGGACACCAACTCATCCTTTTTTTATGGCTGCATAGTATTCCATGGTGTACATGTGCCACATTTTCTTAATCCAGTCTATCACTGATGGACATTGGGGTTGGTTCCAAGTCTTTGCTATTGTGAATAGTGCCGCCATAAACATACGTGTGCGTGTGTCTTTATAGTAGCATGATATATAATCCTTTGGGTATATACCCAGTAATAGGATTGCTGGGTCAAATGGTATTTCTCGTTCTGGATCCTTGAGGAATCGCCACACTGCCTTCCACAATGGTGGAACTAGTTTACACTCCCGCCAACAGTGTAAAAGCCTTCCTATTTCTCCACATCCTCGCCAGCACCCGCCGTTTCCTGACTTTTTAATGATCGCCATTCTAACTGGTGTGAGATGCTATCTCATTGTGCTTTTGCTTTGCATTTCTCTGATGACCAGTGGTGATGAGCATTTTTTCACGTGTCTGTTGGCTGCATTAATTAACTTTTCTTTTGAAAAGTATCTGTTCATATCCTTTGCCCACTTTTTGATGGGGTTGTTTGATTTTTTCTTGTAAATTTGTTTAAGTTCTTTGTAGATTCTGGATATTAGCCCTCTGTCAGATGGGTAGATTGCAAAAATTGTCTCCCATTCTGTAGGTTGCCTGTTCACTCTGATGGTAGTTTCCTTTGCTGTGCAGAAACTCTTTAGTGTAATTAGACCCCGTTTGTCTATTTTGGCTTTTGTTGCCATTGCTTTTGGTGTTTTAGTCATGAAGTCCTTGCCCATGCCTATGTCCTGACTGGTATTGGCTAGGTTTTCTTCTAGGGTTTTTATGCTTTTAGCTCTAACATTTAAGTCTTTAATCCACCTTGAATTAATTTTTGTATAAGGCATAAGGAAGGGATCCCGTTTCAGCTTTCTACATATGGCTAGCCAGTTTTCCCGGCACCATTTATTAAATAGGGAATCCTTTCCCCGTTTCTTGTTTTTGTCAGGTCTGTCAAAGATGAGATGGTTGTAGATGTGTGGTGTTTTTCCTGAGGCCTCTGTTCTGTTCCATTGGTCTATATCTCTGTTTTGGTACCAGTACCATGCTGTTTTGGTTACTGTAGCCTTGTGGTGTAGTTTGAAGTCAGGTAGCATGATGCCTCCCGCTTTGTTCTTTTTGCTTAGGATTGTCTTGGCAATGCGGGCTCTTTTTTGGTTCCATATGAACTTTAAGGTAGCTTTTCCCAATTCCGTGAAGAACGTCATCGGCAGCTTGCTGGGATGCCATTGAATCTATAAATTACCTTGGGCAGTATGGCCATTTTCACGATATTGATTCTTCCTATCCGTGAGCATGGAGTGTTCTTCCATTTGGTTGTGTCCTCTTTTATTTTGCTGAGCAGTGCTTTGTAGTTCTCCTTGAAGAGGTCCTTCACATCCCTGGTAAGTTGGATGCCTAGGTATTTTATTCTCTTTGAAGCAGTTGTGAATGGGAGTTCACTCATGATTTGGCTCTCTGTTTGTCTCTTATTGGCGTATAAGAATGCTTGTGATTTTTGCACATTGATTTTGTATCCTGAGACTTTGCTGAAGTTGCTTGTCAGCTTAAGGAGATTTCGGGCCGAGACGATGGGGCTTTCTAAATATACAGTCATGTCATCTGCAAACAGGGACAATTTGACATCCTTTTTTCCTAACTGATACCCTTTATTTCTTTCTCCTGCCTGATTGCCCTGGCCAGAACTTCCAACAATATGTTCAATAGGAGACACTGTGTTGAATAGGAGTGGTGAGAGAGGGCAGCCCTGTCTTGTGCCAGTTTTCATAGGGAATGCTTCCAGTTTTTGCCCATTCAGTATGATACTGGCTGTGGGTTTGTCATAAATAGCTCGTATTATTTTGAGATACGTTCTATCAATACCTAGTTTACTGAGAGTTTTTAGCATGAATGACTGTTGAATTTTGTTGAAGGCCTTTTCTCCGTCTGTTGAGATAATCATGTGTTTTTTGTGTTTGGTTCTGTTTATGTGATGGATTACGTCTACTGATTTGCGTACGTTGAACCAGCCTTGCATCCCAGGGATGAAGCCAACTTGATCTTGGTGGTTAAGCTTTTTGATGTGCTGCTGGATTCGGTTTGCCAGCATTTTATGGAGGATTTTTGCATCGATGTTCATCAGGGCTATTGTTCTAAAATTCTCTTTTCTTGTTGTGTCTCTGGCAGGCTTTGGTATCAGGATGATACTGGCCTCATAAAATGAGTTAGGGGGGATTCCCTCTTTTTCTATTGATTGGAGTAGTTTCAGAAGGAATGATACCAGCTCCTCCTCGTACCTCTGGTAGAATTTGGCTGTGAATCCGTCTGGTCCTGGACTCTTTTTGGTTGGTAGCCTATTAAAGATTGCCTCAATTTCAGAGCCTGTTATTGGTCTATTCATGATTCAGCTTCTTCCTGGTTTAGTCTTGGGAGGGTGTATGTGTCCAGGAATTGATCCATTTCTTGTAGATTTTCTAGTTTATTTGCATAGAGGTGTTTATAGTATTCTCTGATGGTAGTTTGTATTTCTGTGGGATGGGTGGTGATATCCCCTTTATCATGTGTTACTGCGTCTAGTTGGTTCTTCTCTCTTTTCTTCTTTATTAGTCTTGCTAGCGTTCTATCAATTTTGTTGATCTCTTCAGAAAACCAGCTCCTGGATTCATCGATTTTTTTGAAGGGTTTTTTGTGTCTCTGTCTCCTTCGGTTCTGCTCTGATCTTAGTTATTTCTTGCCTTCTGCTAGCTTTTGAATGTGTTTGCTGTTGCTTCTCTAGTTCTTTTCATTGTGATGGTAGGGTGTCGAGTTCAGATCTTTCCTGCTTTCTGTGGTGGGCATTTAGTGCTATAAATTTCCCTCTACACACTGCTTTAAATGTGTCCCAGAGATTCTGGTACGTTGCGTCTTTGTTCTCATTGGTTTCGAAGAACATCTTTATTTCTGCCTTCATTTCGTTATTTACCCAGTAGTCATCCAGGAGCAGGTTGTTCAGTTTCCATGTAGTTGTGTGGTGTTGAGTGAGTTTCTTAATCCAGAGTTCTAATTTGATGGCACTGTGGTCTGAGAGACAGTTTGTTGTGATTTCTGTTCTTTTACATTTGCTGAGGAGTGCTTGACTTCCAACGATGTGGTCAATTTTGGAATAAGTGCGATGAATGCTGCTGAGAAGAATGTAAGTTCTGTTGATTTGGGGTGGAGAGTTCTGCAGATGTCTATCAGGTCCACTTGGTGCAGAACTGAGTTCAATTCCTGGATATCCTTGTTAACATTCTGTCTCATTGATCTGTCTAATATTGACAGTGGGCTGTTAAAGTCTCCCATTATTATTCTGTGGGAGTCTAAGTCTCCTTGTAAGTCTCTAAGGACTTGCTTTATGAATCTGAGTGCTCCTGTGTTGGGTGCATATATATTTAGCATAGTTAGTTCTACTTGTTGAATTGATCCCTTTACCATTATATAATGGCCTTCTTTGTCTCTTTTGATCTTTGTTGGTTTAAAGTCTGTTTTATCAGAGACTAGGATTGCAACCCCTGCCTTTTTTGTGTTCTCCATATGCTTGGTAGATCTTCCTCCATCCCTTTATTTTGAGCCTATGTGTGTCTCTGTATGGGAGATGGGTCTCCTGAATATAGCAAACTGATGGATCTTGACTCTTTATCCAAGTTGCCAGTGTGTTTCTTTTAATTGGAGCATTAGGCCATTTACATTTAAGGTTAATATTGTTATGTGTGAAGTTGATCCTGTCATTATGATGTTAGCTGGTTATTTTGCTCGTTAGTTGATGCAGTTTCTTCCTAGCATCAACGGTCTCTACATTTTGGCATGTTTTTGCAGTGGCTGGTACTGGTTGTTCCTTTCCATGTTTAGTGCTTCCTTCAGGAGCTCTTGTAGGGCAGGCCTGGTGATGACAACATCTCTCAGCATTTGCTTGTTTGGAAAGGATTTAATTTCTCCTTCACTTATGAAACTTAGTTTCGCTGGAGATGAAATTCTGGGTTGAAATTCTTTTCTTTAAGAATGTTGAATGTTGGCCCCCACTCTCTTCTGGCTTGTAGAGTTTCTGCCGAGAGATCCGCTGTTAGTCTGATGGGCCTCCCTTTGTGAGTAACCCAACCTTTCTCTCTGGCTGCCCTTAACATTTTTTCCTTCATTTCAACTTTGGTGAATCTGACAATTATGTGTCTTGGAGTTGCTCTTCTCGAAGAGTATCTTTGTGGTGTTCTCTGTATTTCCTGAATTTGAATGTTGGCCTATCTTGCTAGGTTGGGGAAGTTTTCCTGGATAATATCCTGCAGAGTGTTTTCTGACTTGGTTCTATTCTCCCCGTCACTTTCAGGTACACCAATCAGACGTAGATTTGGCCTTTTCACATAATCCTATATTTCTTGGAGGCTTTGTTCGTTTCTTTTTCCTCTAAACTTCTTGCTTTATTTCATTCATTTGATCTTCAATCACTGATACCCTTTCTTCCAGTTTATCAAATCGGTTACTGAAGCTTGTGCATTTGTCACATAGTTCTCATGCCATGGTTTTCAGCTCTATCAGGTCATTTAAGGACTTCTCTACATTGGTTATTTTAGTTACCCATTCATCAAATATTTTGTCAAGGTTTTTAGCTTCTTTGCAATGGGTTCGACTTCCTTCTTTAACTTGGAGAAGTTTGATCATCTGAAGCCTTCTTCTCTCAACTCATCAAAGTCATTCTCCATTCAGCTTTGTTCCATTGCTGGTGAGGAGCTGCGTTCCTTTGGAGGGGGAGAGGCTCTCTGATTATTAGAGTTTTCAGCTTTTCTGCTCTGTTTTTTCCCCATCTTTGTGGTTTTATTTACCTTTGGCCTTTAATGATGGTGACGTACAGATGGGGTTTTGGTGTGGATATCCTGTTTGTTAGTTTTCCTTCTAACAGTCAGGACCCTCAGCTGCAGGTCTGTTGGAGTTTGCTGTAGGTCCACTCCAGACCCTGTTTGCCTGGGTATCAGCAGCAGAGGCTGCAGAAGAGTGAATTTGCTGAACAGCAAATGTTGCTGCCTGATTGTTCCTCTGGAAGCTTCGTCTCAGAGGGTTACCCGGCCATGTGAGGTGTAAGGTGACAGTCTGCCCCTGGGGGGGGTTGTCTCCCAGTTAGGCTACTCAGGGGTCAGGGACCCACTTGGGCAGGCAGTCTGTCCATTCACAGATCTCAAACTCCATGCTTGGGAACCACTACTCTCTTCAAAGCTGTCGGACAGGGACATTTAAATCTGCAGAGGTTTCTGCTGCCTTTTGTTTGGCTATGTCCTGTCCCCAGAGGTGGAGTCTACAGAGGCAGACAGGCCTCCTTGAGCTGTGGTGGGCTCCACCCAGTTCGAGCTTCCCAGCCACTTTGTTTACCTACTCAAGCCTCAGTAATGGTGGGTGCCCCTCCCCCAGCCTTGCTGCCGCCTTGCAGTTATATCTCAGACTGCTGTGCTAGCAATGAGGGAGGCCCCGTGGGCATGGGACACTCTGAGCCAGGCACGGGATATAATCTCCTGGTGTGCCGTTTGCTAAGACCCTTGGAAAAGTGAAGTATTAGGGTGGGAGTGACCCAATTTTCCAGGTGCTGTGTGTCACGATTTCCCTTGGCTAGGAAAGGGAATTCCCTTACCCCTTGAGCTTCCCGGGTGAGGCAATGCGTTGCCCTGCTTCAGTTCTCTCTCAGTGGGCTGTACCCACTGTCCTGCACCCACTGTCTGACATGCCCTGGTGAGATGAACCCAGTACCTCAGTTGGAAATGCAGAAATCACCCATCTTCTGTGTCACTCATGTTGGGAGCTGGAGGCTGGAGCTCTTCCTATTCAGCCATCTTGGAACTGCCCCTCTGTTTCAAAGATTAAAAGGATGCTGGCCAGGCATGGTGGCTCATGCCTGTAATCCCAGCACTTTAGGAGACTGAGGCAGGTGGATCACTTGAGGTCAGGAGTTCGAGACCAGCCTGGCCAACATGGAGAAACCCTGTCTCTACTGAAAATACAAAAATTAGCCGGGTATGGTGGCATGTGCCTGTAATCCCAGCTACTAGGGAGACTGAGGCAGGAGAATCTCTTGAACCAGGGAGGCAGAGGTTGCAGTGAGCCAAGATTATGCCACTGCACTCCAGCCTGGGCAACAGAGGGCAACAGAGCAAGACTCTGTCTCAAAAAAAAAAAAAAGATACTGTAGTAGGTAGTGATGTAATTTTGCCAGAAAATCATACCAGAACACACTTTTAGAAGTTAGCATTTATTCATTGCTTATCCTAAAAATTATGGAATAGTTATAACTTGAATTTCCTTAAATATAAGATCGTATAAACTTATTTGATCATTTGCATTTTTATTCTCCAATCAAACCTTTTAGATCATTTTTATTTATTATTTACTATTAAATCATGGTCCTCATTTTAACTGGATTTATTTTCATTGGTGATCTATCCAGCAATAAATCTTCAATGAAAAGGACCTCCTGTACAATATGTTTTTTTTCAGAGTTCACGTTATTGCTTCTCTCTGATTAAACTTTGTATTACAGCCTACGAGAAAGTTGATCTGGAAAAACTGATGAATAAAGTAGAAGCTGTTGCAAGTGAGAAAGAAGTGACCAAATATATATTATTCTGATGTCAACTGATTTTACTTTTCTTAAATTAAAGATTTTAAAAGAATGATATTTTGTTTTAAAAGGCTGCTCAAAGCAAATGAAAACACACTTCATTTAAGGACAAAAAAGAATTATATATTTATGTCTAAGAATATCAGACAGTTTCTTTAACTTGTTTTGTTAGGCCTTTTGATTAAACTAGAGGTCCAAGCTCATTCTTATTCAGCTTTATGATTATCTTCAGACATGAATGCCGAGAAAATTAGCAATAGAAACCTTAACACTTGAGAGTATACTTTTCATACATTTAACCAACTGTTTGCTGATCACATAAATAATAAATGTTATTTATAAAGTAAATATAAATACTAAATGCATATGATTCCAATTCTTTACGCATATTTTATATGTGTTCCAGTTAATTTTAATGTCTTTTAAAATTAGATTGTTTTTTAAAATAATTTAAACTTTTATTTTAGATTCAAGGGATATATGTGCAGGTTTGTTACATGGGCACATTCTGTGATGCTGAGGTTTGGGGCACAAATGATCCCATCACCCGTTGTGAGCATAGTACCCAATAGGTAGATTTTCAACCCACATTCCCCTCCCCACTACCCTCTCTAGTAGTCCCTAGTTCTATTTTTGCCATTTTTATGTCCAGTGTTTACCTCACTTATAAGTGAGAACACACAGTATTTAGTTTTCTGTTCCTGTATTAATTTTCTTAGGATAATGGCCTCCGGCTCTATTGTTGCTTCAAAGGGAAAAATCTCATTCTTTTTATGGCTGCATAGTATTCTGTGGTGTGTATGTAACACATTTTCTTTATCAGCCCACTATTGATGGGCACCTAGGTTGATTCCATGTATTTTCTGTGGTGGACATATGAGTGTCTGTATCTTCTTAGTAGAACAATTTATTTTCTTCAGGATGTATACCCAGTAATGGGATTGCTGGGTTGAATAGTAATTCTGTTTTAAGTTTTTTGAGAAATCTCCAAACTGCTTTCCACAGTGGCCAAACTAATTTACATTCTGATCAACAGTGTATAAGTATTCCCCTTTCTCTGCAACCTTGCCAGCATCTGTTGTTTTTGACTTTTTAATAAAGGCCATTCTGCCTGGTGTGAGATATCTCATTGTGGCTTTTATTTGCATTTATCTGATGACTAGTGATGTTAAGCATTTTTTTCCTATGCTTGTTGGCTGTATGTATGTCTTCTTTTGAAAAGTGTCTGTTCATGTCTTTTGCCCACTTTTGAATAGAATTATTTGTTTTTGCCTGTTGATTTAAGTTACTTATAGATTCTGGATATTAGACCTTTGCCATATGCATAGTTTGTGAATATTTTCTCCCATTCTATAGGTTGTCTGTTTACTCTGTTGATGGTTTTTCTCACAGTGCAGAAGCTCTTTAGCTTAATAAGATCCCATTTGTCCATTTTTGTTTTTGTCACAATTGCTTTTTGCATCATAAATTATATTCCAAGACCAATGTCTGGAATGGCATTTCCTAGGTCTTCTTCCAGAATGCTTACAGGGTTTTTTTGTTGCTGCTTGGGATTTTTTCTTCAAACAGTCTCACTCTGTTGCCCAGGCTGGAGTGCAGCTGGAGTGCAGTGGCACTGTCACAGCCCACCACAGCCTCAACCTCCTAGGCTCAAGCAGTCCTCCCCCTTTAGCCTCCCGAGGAGCTGGGACTACAAACACACACCACCACAGGGTTTCACTATGTTGCCCAGGATGGTCTTGAACTCCTGAGCTCAAAGGATCCTCCTGCCTTGGCCTCCCAAAGTAGCATTCTTATAGTCTGATGTCTTGCATTTAAATCTTTCATTCATTTCTAATTACTTTTTATATATGGTGAAAGGCAAATGTGCAGTTTCATTCTTCTGCATGTGGCTAGCCTGTTCTGAGAACTACCATTCTGATAAATGGCTAGCCAATTATCCAAGCACCATTTATTGACTAGGGCCTTCTTTCCCCATTGCTTCTTTTTGTCAGCTTTGTTGAAGATCAGATGGCTGTTGATCTGTGGCTTTATTTCTGGGTTCTCTATTCTGTTCCATTGGTCTATGTGCCTGTTCTCGTATGTGTACCATGCTGTTTTGGTTACTGTAGTCTTATAGCATAGTTTGAAGTCAGGTAATGTGACACCTCCAGTTTTGCTTTTTTTAATTAATTACGCTATTTTTGAATTAAATGATTGTGTCCAGTCATAAGGTCTAGATTGTGTCTAGACCTTAACGTTGGCTTATCAATGTTTTAGCAACAAAACATGATGCCACATTTTATTAATAAGCCTGTAATCTCACTTTTTCCAGATTAATCAAAGATATTTATTTAGCATTAATAGAAACTATAATTATTATTTAGAATAATTAGGTAGTTCTTTAAAATCTCATGTGTTACCATTTCTATCTGTTTGAAGGAGAGGAAGTTGATGTCAATGACATGAAAACAATTCTAGGAAACATGGGGATAGAGCTTACGGATAAAGAACTCACAGAACTGGTAAATAATCTGCCAGTTGATGGTGAGTATTTCAAATAAAAATGTAATCTTCCAGGGAGGCTTACTGTTAAACTTTGAAAACTTCTAAAACTATCTAACTTTAAAAATAATCTATGACCCATGTTGTGTAATTTTAAAATGACCCCATTATATTTAAAAGATTATTTGTGCCATTCAACTTTTATTTTGAGAATCAACAATTGTGTCATGTTTTCTGTCATCAGGGTTCAGTTATATCTTTTATTACTTTTGATTCTACTGAAAGATCTAAAATTTAAGCCAGGATAAATGAGAAAAAGAAAGAAAAGGGAGTGACCTAATAGGGGAAAATGGAAAATCACAAAATAATAAGAAGAAAGGATATGTTTCAACATGGTAGAGTGTCAGTATTAACTGCCTATATTAATAAAGTTACAACTTTCTCCACACTCTATATAATTTCATTGGTTTTCAGTAAGTCAGAAAATTTATAAGGCAGTTCATAAAGTATGTCTTTCTGAAATTATTGGTTTTATATTTTCTGTAAAGCCCCACATTGCTCTTGTGTGATCTGAACAGTGCTTCTTCTTACAGATGGAAAGGTCTATCAGAAAAGATTGCTGGACGGTATAAAGTTTCTTAGAGGTGAGGGAGATGCTTAATAAAATGCTGATTAATCTGAGATTATAATGTATGGCATTTACATAATTTCCTTGTTATTAAATTGTGAATCCTGCCACATAACATGTATATTATTACATACTTTTGTTTCTTTTATACATTAGCCTCTACTTTAAGAGATCACTTCTTATAGTGTAACTTGGAAAGAATTCCCATGCTCTCTTGGGATTTTCCAAATTTTGATAGAAGAAATTATTACAGTCAAGGTTGCACAGCAAAAAGTAAAGGGAAATTACTTTTTTAACTTAAATAAAATGTTAATTGGATTGCTTATAAGACAAAGAATAAATGTTTGAGGGGATGGATATCCCATTTTACATAATGTGATTATTATACATTGCATGCCTACATCAAAACATCTCATGTACTCTATAAATATACACACCTACTAAGTACTCACAAAAATTAAAATTAAAAAAAATTTATGGGGCGGGGCCAAGATGGCCAATTAGAAGCAGCAGTGTTCAGAGGCTCCCATGCCAAAAAAAAAAAAAAAAAAAAAAACCTAAAAACATGTAAATCCTTCACTAGCAGCCAAGGTATCCAGATTCTTATCAAAATGACTAGAAGGCTAGTTTTACCAATGGAGAGAAGGAAGAACAGTGTGGTGCAGTGGCCCACCTGCAAGACACATGGGGAAGGAGAACCTCCTGCCCCCAGCCAAGGGAGGCAGTGAATGAGCTTGCTACCCAGCTTTTTCCATGGAACTCTGCTTTTTCCATGGAACTGTGCAACCCACAGATCGGAAAATCCCACTCGTGAATCCATGCCACCGGGGCCTAGCATCCCAACCCTGGGATGCACAGTTTCTTACAGCCTCTCAACTGGAATCTGCTTAAGCCTACTGAAATCCCAGTGGGGAGGGATGACCAGCATCAGCTGAGGCTGCCTATTGTCTAAGCCATTTGAATTCCTTGTGGGAGGGGCAGCAGCCAGCACTAGGACTTGCAACTGTCTAGCATGCTAAGCTCACTGGGCGGGGAAGGGTGACACCCATTTCTATAGCTCCAGGCTGTACTTTTCCCCTTCTGGCACCAGGAAGGCTGGACGGCTTGGTCCTAAGACTTGTCCCAACAGCCCAACACACTGGCTGTGGCCAGAATGCCTTTTCAGGCCAAACCCTGACCCATCTTTCCTCATTGAGCAGGGCTTCCCTGCAGGATCTACAATAACTCCAGCAAGAGGCTCAGGGACAGAACTCGGATCTCCCTGGGCCTGAGCTCCTAGCGGGAGGGGTAGTCGCAGACTCTGCAGACTAGCAGACTTAGCCTCTTCTCCTGGCAGTTCCGAGGAATCCTGGCAGCACAAACGAGTGGATTTCCCCCCAGTGAAGCACACCCGCTCCACCAAGGGACAAAGTTCTTCATTAAACGAGTCCTGTGGCCTGTGCCACCCAACTGGGTGAGACCTTCCAACAGAAGCTGTCAGACCCTCTATACAGGAGCGATCCTGCTGGCATCAGGTTGGTGCCCCTTAAGATCAGAGGTCCCAGAAGAAGGAGCAGACACTCATCTTTTCTGTTTTCCAGCCTCTTTGAGTGACATCTCCAGTCACAGGAGTAAATCAGATTAATAAAGCCTGAAGTAAATCCCCGGCAAACTCCAGCAACCCTACAGAAGAGGGACCTGACTACTGAAAGAAAATCAAGCAGAAAGCGACAACAACAGCATCAACAACAACAACAAAAAAGACCTTCACAGAAACCTCATCCAAAGATCGGCAATCTCAAAGACCGAAACAAGAAAAACTAACAAAGATGAGAAGGAATCAACAAAAAAAAATGCTGAAAACCCAAAAGACCAGAGTGCCTCTTCTCCTCCAAATGATTGCAATGTCTCTCCATCAAGCGTGCAGAACTGGATGGAGGATCAGATGGCTGAACTGACAGACGTAAGCTTCAGAAGATGCGTAATAAAACTACGATGAGCTACAGGAGCACGTTCTAACCCAATGCAAAGAAGCTGAGAACCTTGATAAAAGGTTAGAGGAACTGCTAACCAGAATAATCAGTTCAGAGAGGAACATAAATGACCTGATGGAGCTGAAAAACACAGCACAAGAACTTCGTGAAGCATACACAAGTAACCACAGTTGAATCAACCAAGCGGAAGAAAGGATATCAGAGTTTGAAGACCACCTCACTGAAATGCAGAAAAGAATAGAGAAAAAAGAATGAAAAGGAATGAACTAAGCCTCCAAGAAATAGGGGACTTCATAAAAAGACCAAACCTACAATTGATTGGAATACCAGAAGGAGACAGGGACAATGGAAACAAGCTGGAAAACACACTTCAGGATATTATCCAGAGAACTTCCCCAACCTAGCAAGACAAGCCAACATTCAAATTCAGGAAATACAAAGAACACCCCTAACATATTCCTCGAGAAGAGCAACCACAAGACTCATAATCGTCAGATTCTCCAAGGTTAAAATGAAGGAAAAAATGTTAAGGGCAGCCAGACAAAAAGGTCAGTTACCTATAAAGGGAAGCCCATCAGACTCACAGCGGATTTCTGTGCAGAAACCCTACAAGCCAGAAGAGAGTGGGGGCCAATATTCAAAATTCTTAAAGAATTTTCAACCCAGAATTTTATATACAGCCAAACTAAGCTTCATAAGTGAAGGAGAAATAAAATCCTTTAGAGACATGCAAATGCTGAAAGATTTTGTCTTCACCAGGCCTGCCTTACAAGAGGTCCTGAAGGAAGCACTAAATATGGAAAAGAAAAACCAGTACCACCCACTGCAAAAACATACCAAAATATAAAGACTAATGACATTATGAAGAAACTGCATCAACTAATGTGCAAAATAACCAGCTAGTATAATGATGACAGGATCACATTCACACATAACAATATTAACCTTAAATGTAAATGGGCTAAATGCCCCAGTGAAAAGACGTAGACTGGCAAATTGGATAAAGAGTCAAGACCTGTCAGTGTGCTGTATTCAGGAGACCCATCTCACATGCAAAGACACACATAGGCTCAAAATAAAGGAATGGAGGAATATTTACCAAGCAAATGGAAAGCAAAGAAAAGCAGCGGTTGCAATCCTAGTCTCTGATAAAACAGACTTTAAACCAACAAAGATCAAAAAAGACAAAGAAGGCCATTACATAGGGGTAAAGGGATCAATGCAACAAGAAGAGCTAACTATGCTAAATATATATGCACCCAATACAGGAGCCCCCAGATTCATTAAACAAGTTCTTAGAGACCTACAAAGAGACTTAGACTCCCACACAATAATAGTGGGAGAATTTAATACCCCACTGTCAGTATTAGACAGATCAATGAGGCAGAAGATTTACAAGGATATCCAGGACTTGAACTCAGCTCTGGACCAAGCAGACCTAATAAACATCTACAGAACTCTCCACCCCAAATCAACAGAATATACATTCTTCTCAGTGCCACATGGCAGTTATTCTAAAATTGATCACATAATTGGAAGTAAAACACTCCTCAGAAAATGCAAAAGAACTGAAATCATAACAGTCTCTCAGACAGTGCAATCAAATTAGAACTCAGTATTAAGAAACTCACTCAAAACCACACAATTTCCTGGAAATTGAACAACCTACTCCTGAATGATTCCTGGGTAAATAATTAAATTAAGGCAGAAATCAAGATGTTATTTGAAACCAATGAGAACAAAGAGACAATGCATCAGAATCTCTAGGACACAGCTAAAGCAGTTTATAGCACTAAATGCCCGCATCAGAAAGCTAGAAATATCTCAAATTGACAACCTATCATCACAAATAAAAGAGCTGAAAAGACAAGAGCAAAGTAATCCAAAAGCTAGCAGAAGACAAGAAATAACAAAGATCAGAGAGGAATTAAAGGAGATAGACATCAAAAACCCTCCAAAAATCAACGAATCCAGGAGCTAGTTTTTTGAAAAAATTAACAAAATAGATAGACTGCTAGCTAGCCTAATCAAGAAGAGAGAGAAGAATCAAATAGACACGATAAAAAAAATGATAGGGGGAATATCACCACTGACCCCTCAGAAATGCAAACTACCATCAGAGAATACTATAAACACCTCTATGCAAATAAACTTGAAAATATAGAAGAAATGGATAAATTCCTAGACACATACACCCTCCCAAGACTAAACCAGGAAGAAGTTGAATCCCTGAATAGACCAATAACAAGCTCTGAAATTGAGGAAGTAATTAATGGCCTCCCAACCAAAAAAAAAAAAATGACCAAAAGGATTCACAGCTGAATTCTACCAGAAATACGAAGAGGAGCTGGTACCATTCCCTCTGAAACTATTCCAAACAATTGAAAAGGAGGAACTCCTCCCTAACTCTTTTTATGAAGCCAGCAACATCCAGATACCAAAACTGGGAAGAGATAGAACAAAAAAAGAAAACTTCAGGCCAATATCCCTGA